TAAAGGTTGAAGAATTATTTATTTTTCTGCATAATCACCATTTCACTCGCTGCATTTTTGCAGATGCTGTGGCAGTTTTACAATGCCCATGTCGTACCCGCTTGCTGGCGCCACACAATCACCTTCTGGACAAATATTCTTTCAACTTTAGGAACAGGTGGGAGTCACTGGGTGCCTAGTCCGGATTGTAGGATGGGTGGGTGATGAAGTTCCAACCAAAGTTTTGCAGGAGAGTGACAATTTGACGAGCGATGTGCGGTCGCGCGTTGTTGTGGAGAATGCTTACGCCCTTGCTCAGCATTCCTCTTCTCTGGTTCTGAATTGCCCTTCTGAGTTTTTTTCAGTGTTTCACAGTACCTGTCAGCATTTATTGTGGCAGAAAGTCAACCAACAATACCCCCTTTCAGTCCCAAAACACAGTTGTGCACTGCACGCACTTGGCAGTAGCGTTCAGCGAGAGCTCCATTTTCATAGGGCTGCCAAGCCAAGATGGAGCGTCCCAGCGAAGCTGCGCATGCTTGTTCGGGAGTGGAGGAAGCACCGATCACAACAGTCTGGCAAACAGCCGTATGAACAGTTTCTCTACGTCACCACTGCTTTGGAGACCTTAGTTCTGGGTTTGCCCTCGTATTTCTGTTGTGTTTTGTGCGTCTTTGCAGTTTTTTCTGAAGTTGCAGTGTTGTTTGACCACTCAAGGCCACCGTACTTCTTGATTCAACTGAGACACATTTTAGCTGCTTTGGAAACATCAGCATGTGACACTTGTGACCTCTGGACTATTAAAAAAAACGAACAAACTTGTTGTTATGGTTACCCAGCTTTGGCGCGAGCTTTGGGTCCCCAGAAGGCCTGAGGATTCTCCTGGAACCGGGTCAGGTGGCGCTTACGGGACTGAGGGTTGGCGTCCTCCCTTACAGTGAAACAGGCCTCAAAGCTACAAACACACAAACATTACAGATCTGCAGGTTAGGGCTGTGCATTTTTCAGAGACAGTGGAATCTTTTAAAGCGGTAAATGTGCTCCTGATGGCTCAAAGTGGCTCACCTGGGCTCAGTGGAGAGGATCTTGAATGCGGGGCTGGTCGGAGATAATTTCTCCCTCTTTACAGGGTTGATTTTCTCCTGCAGCAGATCATCAAACATGCATGTGTGACTTTAAATGTGTTACACGATTCTGAATAAGCATGTTCACTTTTTATTTAGTGTCGACATTTCCAGCAGGACATGGAAATGTTTAAGAAACAACAGCGTGTGGCTGTGTTCAGGATTACTAAAAATAGCTTTTCTTTTTCTCCTGTAAAGTTTACCCAGCATCGCATGATGTCCCAGATGGCTGCAGGAGGGGCGTCTGTTTTGATGGCGTTTTTACAGGCGTGAGAGAGGGAGACCCTGTGGCCAGCATGGAGGAGAGCAGACCTGAAAAGAGTGAGATAGAGGAAGGATGCTCTGATGATTCAGTTTGTGAGAAATGTGAGAGGAGGAAGGTTTTCCCTACAAACAGACAAACGGAAAGCCACGGGTAAGATATTTTTTTTCCTCCTGGAATCACTGAAAACAAACAAATGTGGACATTCACACATGCACAGCAGGAGAATAACCTAAACAACAAGGTAGAAGATGCCACAGACTCCGTGTTAGATATAAATGGATGAGAGCTTTAAAGCGGGGGCAGCTATGCTCATTTCCAACTCCATATTTTTTATTTAAGGATTATACTGGAGCTTTGTATACTTGACAGTTTAAAATAATCAAAATATTCTTATTAATTTGATCCAGGGCTTTGGTGCAGCAGCAGAGTTCATCGTCTGTCTGAAAGAAGCCATTTCAGCTCCCTTGCCTTCCCCTCTCCCCTTTCAGGATTGTTTCTTCTGATTGGCTGACCCTTGCAAACAAAAGATTGCAACAACAGGTGGTATGCCTCAGTCAAAGCCGTGTGTCAGATTTCAATATCAAGGTTTGATATGTCGTGTGGAAAGAGATGCTCTCTCAAGTTACTGCTGACTTCCTTCTATCAGCAAAGTGTGTGTGTGTGTGTGTGTGTGTGTGTGTGTGTGTGTGTGTGTGTGTGTGTGTGTGTGTGTGTGTGTTACACAGTGCTTTGTAACCTTTCTGGGTGTGTGACACCTTTCTAAAGAATACATTTTGCTGTCACTGACAATTCTCTAATCAAATAAAAACTTTTTTTTAAAGACAGTAGTGTCTAACAGTGTCTGTGTGTAGTTACACAATTACACATTTGCAAAGAGTTCTTTCACAGTAAAGCTGTATCAACCAGCGAAGCGAAGTGGCAATCAGAGAGCACGTGAACAACACTCCACGATCAAAAATGACTGCGGGTGAAATAACCGCTGCCAACTGCTTCAAAGTGACATGCATCGAGTGAATCACTTCCTGTGCTGTAGCTTACAACCTACAACTAAATTTAAGAAAGCATGAGTTGTAAGTCTTTAAGAAATGCATACAGACCCCATCAGTTGATGCAAACTGTGTGTGTGTGTGTGTGTGTGTGTGTGTGTGTGTGTGTGTGTGTGTGTGTGTGTGTGTGTGTGTGTGT